TTCGACTTTTCAGCCCCGTCCGACTAAGGTGACGTTCATGGTAGAGTTCCCTATGTACCGGGCCCGTTCGCCCTTTTTCTGGGTACCTAATAAGTCTTTCACATAAAGATTCCTATCAATAAAATAACCAACAAATGTATACCAATATCTCATTTTATATTTATTGATTAATTAGACGACATTTATGTATATGATAAAGCTTACCATAATAAAGGATTGAGTAACCAGATAATCGAATAAGATAGATAAATGGATAAGACCATAGAAACTATAAATTAAGAACATGCATTATATGATCACAAACAAGTAGGACCGTACAGAAAAATAAATAGAAAATCAGGACAATTGTGAACTAATTAGTTCTGCCTCCACTAGTGATCTGTAATCATTTTTAAGATTTTCTAATTTTTCACAAAAATATAAAATTATATATCGTTAAGTCTCAATTTATTGTAATGGGAAATAGGATGAGGGATCCTTACTCGAATTTGTGTTTCGAGATATCGCACTATCTACCATGCCTTCTAACGGGTATTAAATTTTCTGAATTTTTCCTGCGAAATCTAAAACACTCGTTACGTACATAAAAATACCTAAAAATTTCAAAATCGGTGTCTAAAACTCTTTCCGGCCAATTTTAGGGTTCCGATATGGTAGCACCGCTGTACTCCGGCACTAACTCTAACGTCCACGACAGTAGTTTTCCTTGGCCCAGTCGGTTTTAGCCAGTTTTGGGCTGATTTTATACGTATCCCTACAGAAAAACATGTTAGGGGGCCTAGGTTGGGCGAAAATTCATAAAAAACCTAACCTATTGGCGAGGGGTCTCCAAGTGCCGCAGCTCCGCCGATCCTCATTCGTGGCTGGGGTTTCTTCTTTGGCTAACCTGTACAGAAAAGGACGTTGAACACAATGATAGAAAAATCACGTGAAACGGGAACCGAGGAGGGGCTCATCAAAGGGATTTTTGAGTTTTGGTTGGGGCGGCTCTGACGGGCTTTGCCCGCAGTTTTCGACTCATTTGTTGTCCCTCTTGCTCTGATTTAGCCATAGGGAGGGTCAAAATCGAATTCTGAGTGAGTAGGAAATTTTTTTACCTTTTTTTTTGTGGTTGGTTGTGGCTCCGGTGTGGCGGCGGTTGGTAGTTGGCCTTTTTCTCCAACACCTGGTTCTTCTTATGTGTCCATCTGGACCGTTCATCACGATTGATCTCGTTCGTCCGATCGCACCTAAGGAGGAGACGAATTTGGACCGTTCATGCGTGCGGGATCGAATCTAGGCCATCAGATCATCGGGCACACGGATCACTCATGTGGCGCTGATGTTAGCGTGTTTTGACACGCGGCGTGCTCTGTTTCATCAGGGCTGCTGACTAAGTCGTCCCACATTGCCGAGTTTTTCTTTTTGCACTTTAACCCCCTGTTTTCAATTTTTCTTTCAAAAACACAATTGAACTTTAATTTTCACCCATTTTTTTTAAAATTATTTTCAATTTCGTCCACAATTCATATTTTCTAAAAAATTCAATAAAATAAAACTAAAATAAATAAATAAATTAATTATTTTAATAAAATAATTTCACAAGAAAAATTTATCCCGGACTGTTTTTCGTGCTCGTATATTACAATTGTGATGCATTTATCTCTCTCTATTATGTTTTTAATTGTTCACTTGTACTTTCAATTCTTGTTCATTTTTAATTCTTATCTCATTTCATAAATTTTATATGGATAATACTTATCTCTTTTATAGTTTCATTATTCTCTTTACTTTTTCACATATTCAGTTTCACTTGCGTTTTCTTTACTTATACTTATTTGCTTGTTCACTTACATTATTACAGCTTGCATTCATATTTAAATAATTTTGCTTACACTTTAACAATTACATTAATACTTTATAATTATATTTATACTTTAACACTTTTAACGATTACACTCACACTTATTGTATGATAACATTTTAATCATAATAATTACAGTATATTACATCTGTACCATATCTCATAGAATGTGGTTAATGACTATAAATTTTAGCTTTAGCTTAATGTGCCGATAATATAATCAAGCTTTCTGCATATGGTGATGATATCGTTAGGCTATATAGCTATACATGTATAGCTATACAAGATATGCATGTATAAAAAGCGTATACATACACATTTAGAAAGAGAAATAGTAGATAATCATGAATGAAAGAAAGAGAGTGTGATAAAATGTATTTTTAGGTTAGATTTTGTATGCAAATAAATAACTGGAAATTGACGAGTGGATTACACTAATTTATTATATTTTTAGATAATAATAATAATATAAAAAATTATGAAACTTCAGTTTCATTGAGTTAAAAAGTTACTATGAATTAATTGTTCATAAATAAATTATGATAATAATAATAATAATAATTCAAATTATTTTATTATTTTTCTTCTATTTTATTTTCCGGTCTATGATCTATCTTTTTAATTCAATGTAAATTTATGTTATCATTGTTTCTGTAATGCTCTTTTTTCCAAATAATAAATATTGTCTCTCCTAAAACAACAATTACTACATTAAAACTGTATGAAAAGAATAAATCATTTTATATTTATATGATACTTTAATTATAAATCTGAAGTTAATTAATTATGGAAGTAATAACCCTAAACACTCTTTTTGAAGTTAAGAAATATGATAAGTTAAGGTTATGATTCATAAAAAAAGAATATTCTTAGTTTATGTATATTTAGTGCATAAAATTAGTATAAATAATATGTTATTTTATATTGATTTAAAAAAAAAATCATTTGTAATTATTAAAGTTTGTACCTTGTAAAATATTTAATATTTTACAGAAAAATTGTATCGTATTTATTAAATATTACGTAGCACTATATATCATTATTATAAATTAATAATATATTTTTCTCTCAAAAAAAATAATCATGTATTTGACTGATAATTACCATATTGGGAAGGTCCAGTTACAACGCAAGAAGGAAAATTTATTTAAATATTCTTCACGCGGGAAAATTCAACATTCGGGACCACAATGGAATTTACCAGAATTGACAACAACGACACCGTTTCAGGTCAAGCCGTCTTAAAACTTGTGGGGTCCCTTCTACTTCAGAATTGAAGACAACGACGCCGTTTTCAAGCTGTCTTAAAGCTTGTGGGGTCCACGCTTAATTCTTCTTCTTCAGGCTTCACACCCAAACCGTCCTTCCGATTCCCATACTATTCTATACTTTTTGCTCTGCTCAGCTCAGCTCAGCTTCCCTCTCCCCCTGCAACAGAAAATGCCAAACAAGTTTCAGAACAAATCATATTAATCCGGCAATGTCGTCGTCGTCGCCTCCTCCTCCTCCGGATACAAACGCCACCTCTTCCACGCCAGCTGAGACCGACGCCACAACTCCGTCGCTTCCCAAAATTCGGACGACTTCTTCTTCTCCTCCGCCTCCTCCGACTTCAAATGGATCGCTAGTGCCGTCTCCGTCTCCGACGGATGGTGGCTTGCCTACGGGGGCTCTGGTGGGGCTGATATTGGGGGTTGTGTTGGGGACAGTACTTGTGCTGATTGGTGTAGCATTTTCGTCTTCTTATACAGGAGGAAGAAGAGGAACGATGGTGAGGCCTTTACCAGGGGGGGCACCTAAAGGTCAGTAGATAAGAATTTAGCTTAAGATGCGCGTCTTCGCTTTGTTTTGTTTCTTTATTTTTGTTTACTGGGATTATGCTAATCAAGCTGGTTTAAATTAATTTTTGTTTTTTGTTTCTGTTTTCATTTTTCTCTGTGTTTGCTTTCTGAATTTTGGTGTATTGTCTTTCATCTTTCTCGAATAAACTGTCGGGATAGTATGTCATGTTCAACTTTGTCTTTTTGTTACCTGAATATATATGTTATTTATCATTTCTTTGGGGAAATGTAATTTATAATTCAACATGCTATAAAAGCTGCGAGTTTGGAATTTTAAATATTATGGTTTTCCTAACAAAGATTCTGGACCGTGTTGTTAGTCTCTTTTTTTTAATTATATGTATATATATATATGTATATAATATTTACTTTTTTGTTTTGGTAATTGGGTTTTTATTCAGTTAAAATATTGTCTTACAACTTCTTAGCTACGGCAGACAGTGATCATGATTTGCTAGTGCATTCTAGTTTGTTTACTCAAAGATCTCCCAATAGTTTTTGTTCTTTTCTTTGGCCGTTTTAACTTTTTGATGCAACGAAATAGGTTTGACAGTGAGAGAGACAGAAAAAGAAAAAAGAAAAAAGAAAAATTAGGAGAGTTAAGAGTATAGCGTAAGATAGAGAATTTCAGATTTCCTTCATCCAGACTACTTATCTACAAACTGAGTATTCTTGCCCTTCTTCTAGCGAGTAGAACAACCAGTCGTCGGATCAACTGGCCATCGACGACTTCATTCTCACATATATCACCTTTCCTAAGGCATTATAGTATTCAGCTCCATCACTAGAAATGGGATCACATGCTATTCACCATTTAAACTATAAAGCACAAGACAATCACAGGACGTCTTAGAAAATGCTAACCTAATTCTTGTGGAAAAAGTGATGTGTTGATTAATGACTGGTTGGTTAGTTACAAACTCCTAGCGATAAGAAGGGTAAGAAGTGGAAGAATACCTAGTTGTATTGCCTAGATAAATGAAATTTGAAATTTTTTTTTTATTTTTTAGAAATAAAAAAAAGTAAAAGAATTATATTGCTATGAACAACACCAAGAGAGTGTCAACCCATGTATAAAAGTATTTACAAATCCGTCAGCTTATTAAAAAGTTCCTGTAATCCTTCCTAGGCTGTGGAGAATGACCCATTAGCAAAAAAACAAAAGGGTTTGAAACTATTTATTATTAAGTACATCAAAGCCGTTCACGTCATCCATCCTATCAGAAGCTCTCCTATTTCTTTCCTTGTACACCCATCCATATAATAGTAAGGGGAATCACATCAGCAAACTTACACCTGCTTCTGACACTCTCCCGAGCACACAACTCTTTCCTCACCAAAACCAGCCATCACCAAATTGATTCCAAATAGCCCGAAAGCCACCATCCAAAGCTTATGCACCAAAGGACACCGCAACAACACATGATGACAACTTTCCTCAGCGTTCTTACATAAGTAGCACACATTCACTAGAACCCTACCCCTTCTTCTTAACTTATTTATAGTTAAAATACACTCTCTACTAGCCTCCGAAGCAAAACAAGACACCCATGGAGGAACTTCAGCATTCCAAATCTGTCTGTACGGGATCCTAACATCCCTGTTCTCACTCTTGAACAAACACTTGTAGAAAGAATTTACCGTAAAGGCCCCATTCTTAGTAAGGCTCCACAAAGGACAATCATTGTTACCATTCAGTGACCCAGAACGAAAGGAGACTTAACAAATTCTCCTATTCACCATTTTCCCAATTATTCAGATTCCTTGAGACTAAGACATGCCATTCCCTCCCCTCTCCAATTTCCCGTGTGTGATAATCACATATGTTTACCCCTTTTTGTTGAGCAATGATATATATCTTTGGAAATTGTTCCCTGAGAGTACCACCGTCAAGCCACTGATTTTCCCAAAATCTCACTGTGTCCCCCCTACCCACCCTCCATCTATCTAACACATTGCGGAAAACTCTCTCTACCGGCCCCAATCTTTTTCCGTAGACTTTTCCCATGGGCTTTCAAAGGCATACAGCCCCTCTATTCAGTCCCAAACTTCGCGGCAATAACCAGTCTCCATAATACCTCTTCCTCCTTCTGAACCTCCAAAACCATTTACCCTGCAGAGCTGCATTCGTTTCAACCAAAGAGCGGATACCCAGGCCACCGATATACATTGGACCCTTAAGCTCGATACTATTGACAGAGATATAAAAACGAACAGGTGAATTTGGTGCCAATATTAGTGCCTTGATACTATTGATGCGAGGAAAAGATTGAGAGAGAGATGTAAAAACAGAGAAAAAGAAGAATTAAGAAAGAGTTGGAGTAGAGAGTAGACAGAGAACTCCACATTTAATTCATCTACATAGCTGTTGCACAACTAAGTATTTTTTCCTCATAGCAAGTAGTTTGTAACTAACCAACCACTCATGTAACCAATTGGCCATCTGCATCATTGTCAAATGTATCAAGAGGGGTTGTATGGAACTGAAGGAAAATGGATGAATTGGGTAAACACAGTGGTTCTGTTTTCAACTTTTTAATTGATTGTAAACACGAGCTAACCGTTGACTTGCTAGTTACACATAGTGTGGGCATGTTGTGGTTTTCTCTCTTTTTTTTCCTTCGGTTCTAATGATTAACATACTTAGTCCATATATGGTTTATAAAATAATATTCTTATTTTTTTGAGTAATAACATTCTTAGTTTAATCATAAAATGAAATTCTATTTTTGGATCAATTTCGAATTCTATTCTTGGATTCCTTGTGGAGGCCATTATTGGATAGAGATATTAATACTAAAATATATAAACAATAAAGTCTAGTTTTTTCCTATGGCAAAAACTTTTGGGATAAACGGTCACCCAACTATCTGTTTTAGAGCTAGAGTTTAAATCCTGATTCTCTTGCTTCTATGAAAATTAACTTTCAAAGTAAGCTATAGGTTGGTTGAGAGTGTGAAAGTTTCTATTGGAAAAAACGTAATTTTAATAGCTCTGGTTAGAAGTTTGTAGCTGTTAAAAGGAAGTACTATATTTGATAATTTGTTTTCTATGAAGTGCTTTCGAAGCTATTTTGACCAATATTAATGTTTTGTAATAGTACTTCTGAAAATTCCATCAATTTGTAAAATGACCAAATTAGATATTAAAACTTAAAAGTATAGTAGTCAAACTCTATCAAATGTACTTTTTTTTAATTATTAGATACTATATAAGAACCTAAACTTCAGATTATAGTATTTAAATTGAAAATCCAACAATTCATCTCTAAAGCAATATTCCTCTACTTCTATAGAAACTCACTATATGATCTATTTGTTAGTAATTTTGCAATGCTACCAACGTTACATTTTCCTTTGTTTTCCTCCAAGAAATCTACTTGTAAAATTCTTTTAGTTTGTGTGGAGGAGTGGATGTGTATGCATGAGATAATAAATTCAGACACTATCCTAGGAGGAAATCTATAGTACGACCTT